ATTTGGGTAAGTGAAGGACACGGATGGATATTTAAGTTTTGCTTGTTCAGTTCAGACGATAGTGTATGGAAAAATATCCTGTAGTCTTTTTAACTCAGTTCCCACTGACAAGTAAGGCAAAGAAAATCTGGGTATAGAACATTATTTAAAAAAAACAACTCTCTACTCATCATCAGGGAAATACAAATCAAAACCACAATGAGATACTACCTTACACCTGTCAGAATGACTAACATTAACAACTCAGGCAACAACAGATGTTGGCGAGGATGTGGAGAAAGAGGATCTCTTTTGCACTGTTGGTGGGAATGCAAGCTGGTGCAGCCACTCTGGAAAACAGTATGGAGGTTCCTCAAGAAACTAAAAATAGAACTACCCTATGACCCAGCAATTTCACTACTAGGTATTTATCCAAAGGATACAGGTGTGCTGTTTCAAAGGGACACATGCACCCCCATGTTTATAGCAGCACTCTCAACAATAACCAAAGTATGGAAAGAGCCCAAATGTCCATCGATGGATGAATGGAAAAAGAAGATGTGGTATATATACATACAATGGAGTATTACTCAGCAATCAAAAAGAATGAAATCTTGCCATTTGCAACTATGTGGATGGAACTGGAAGGTATGATGCTAAGTGAAATTAGAGAGACAAATATCATGACTTCACTCATATTAGGACTTTAAGATGCAAAACAGATGAACATAAGGGAAGGGAAGCAAAAATAATATAAAAATAAGGGGGGGGGGACAAAACAGAAGAGACTCATAAATATGGAGAACAAACTGAACGTTATGGGAGGAGTTGTGGGAGGGGGGATGGGCTAAATGGGTAAGGGGCACTAAGGAATCTACTCCTGAAATCATTGTTGCACTATATGCTAACTCATTTGGATGTAAATTTTAAAAAATAAAAAATAAAACAAGTTAAAATAAAAAAAATAAAAAAACAACTCTCATTAAAAACATTCTAACAACTGCAGTGGGAGTTTTAAAGATGCATTAATTCACATATCAACAAATAGTTTTTCTGTTAAACTCTTCTTTACATATTTTTTGGATCTGTAATGCATTCAGGTGATTGCACGTTTTTAAGCAAATCTTACATAAAATAAGATATTTTATGGGGCTACAATGTTAATTTTTTAGTTTTGATAAATATACTGTGGATATGTAAGATGTTAACATCAGAAATACCAGGTAAAGGGTATAGAAGGATAATCTGCAGGAATATTGCAACTCTTCTTTTCTTTCTTTTTTTTTTTTTTGCAAAGGTTTATTTACTTGTTTATTTATTTAGGCAGAGAGAGAGTGAGAGAGAGAATGAGAGAGAAAGAGAGAGAGAAGGAGAGAGAGAGAGAAAGAAAGAGAGAGAGAAAGAGAGAGAAAGAGAGAGAAAGAGAGAGAAAGAGAGAGAGAAAGAGAGAGAGAGAGAGAGAGAATGAATGAATGAATCTGACTTGGGACTCAATCTACAAACCACAAGATCATGACCTGAGCCAAAATCAAGAGTCCAATGCTTAACCACTGAGCCACTGAGGTCCCCTGCAACTATTCTGTTAATCTAAAATTACTTTATAATAAAAAGTAAAATAATATAAGGGGATTAGCTGTTTGGAGCCTGAAGAGACCTGGCTTTTTATAGATATCAGGGCTCCAGGATTAGCTCAAGGCTATATAGTGTGTTTGCTGTAGGTATCTGACCCCCAGCTCGATATTCTTCCCCTCAGTTGTGTTGCTCCTGAGGAGTGGACCAATTCTGCTTCACCTGAACAGCTCACTCAGTGCTGTCTGCTGGCACAAATCCAGGGATCTTCCTTAGGTTATTCTACTTTCCTAAGATGATAAGACATCCCAGCACAAATGCACTGGATCAGTAAAACTGATCCAACTGTAAAGCCAGAGGCCAGAAGACTTAGTCACCAAGTTCATTACCTATTTACTCAATATCCAAGGTCAATACCGTTCAATAGCACAGAGTAAAGTGTGGTACCATTAGATGACAAAGGTGAAACATCCACAGAAGCACTGGTCTGGGCTAATATATCAGCTACATTTCATTATCTTTCAATTGGTCAGAGATTCTCCTACAAAGTGGCATTAAAATAAAAAAAAAATCATAAGGATGAAGGAGCTAATTATCACATTCTAGGCCCTGACTCCATTCAGGCTATCAACCATCAACACAATTTGAATAGGGGCGAACATTCTACATTCCAGTTGTAGAATGACGTATGAAAGTATTTTCATGTGTCCTGCAAGAAAATTTTATTTCTTGTTTCTGTAGGATATGCTTACAACTTTAAAATAAACAATGGAAAGGTAGCAATGAGCAGAAGTCCTTATTTTGTTGCACTTTGACTCAGGAGATTCACTTGTAAATTTTGGAGACTTAATTTTTTTAAGGCAAGGTCCCAGGGTTTTCCATTGGTGTCAACAGAGGACCATAGTCTACAACCTTATATGAGCAATTACTGTGCTCTAAAGTTTTCAGAATATGGATCTCTAAAGTGGGCTGATGCTTGGATAATTTGTCTTTTTATTTGATGTGGGCTGGGTTTGTTTTTAACCACGTAAGATTTATTTTTCTATTAAAAAATTATTTTTGCATTTATTTATTTTTGAGACACAGAGAGAGACAGAGTATGAGTGGGAAGGGGCAGAGAGAGAGGGAGACACAGAATCCGAAGCAGGCTCCAGTCTCTGAGCCGCCAGCACAGAGCCCAACGCAGGGTTCGAACTGAGGAGCTGTGGGATCATGACCTGAGCTGAAGTCGGATGCTTAACTGACTGAGCCACTCAGGCGCCCTTATTTTTCTATTTAAAGAAAAGTTAGCCTAAATTTTTGACTCTCATATTTTCCATGCCTTCCAGGTAATGGAGCACTTGTTCCATGGGGGAGGGGAGGAATTACTGGGTCATATTTAGAGGTTAACTTCTTCTAGACAGCACCTTTCTTTGGACTGATCAGCACTAATTACTGACCAGTTGTGTTAAAAAATAACCCTGTTCCTCAAGAGGTCTGTGAAAAGAAAGGGAAACAGGTCACACATTAGCTTGTCTCAAAAAAGAGCACTTATATCACAGACACGAGGATTTGCTGCACTCTCAGAGAATGAGCTTGCTCTCAGAGTCCTGAAATACAGGTTTCCTTGGGTGGATTTGCTGAAAAGATTCCAGCTTTAGTAACTAAGATGAAACAAAGGATCTAGCTGACGGTCAGGTAACTTCTGGCAGGAAGAAGGCCTGAGATGGAAGCAACTATTCAAGGAAAAAATAAAACCTTGCAATGTAGCATATAATGTTAAAAATACAGCCCATGGTATATGGGATTTGGAAAAGAAAATGTTCTCTTTCTTCACCAACTATCCTCTTCCTTTGGCCCAATTTATTTCCCTATAGTCATAAAGCCTTACAAGCTTTGCAAGAATGCTAGGCATTTTGTAATGAGGAGATATATTCTCCACTTACTGAGAATGTGTTTCTGTTCAGGGAAATCCAAACGCCAACATGGCTGTTGCCGTTTTAGCAAGACATAGATCTCGGGGCTGCATCTTGAAAAAGTAGATATGGCTTGTGTGATACAAACGCATTTGCTTATGTTTGATGTCTACTATTAAATATTCAATATTATTTATGATGATTTATGCTAGAAGAACTACAAGAAATGAAGAAATCCAGCATTCTCTGAATTCTTCATGGCTGTAAATGAGGTAGGGAAGCAGAAGAGACTCCATTTTAGAAAGGCTCCATCTCTGCTGTTTTTCTACTAGACCCCATTTCTGAATAAGCCAAAGGAGCTATGTTCCCACTTCCAAGGGGAAGGAAGAAAGTTAATCTGAATTTTGTTCTAGGTCCCAAACATCTGATAACATCTAAGAAGAGCCAAAACCCAAACATGTTCCAGGACATTATCTTCCAACAAACCACGGCCTACACTGGCATCAACACCCCCTACCTTCAGTGATTTGTGGAATAACAGCTATTGGTCACCCAACACTTGCAGTTGATCAGACCCTACCCTGGATTCCTGGAGAAACACATACCTCAGACCCCTTTCCCATATAAAACCCTAATCCCAAGCGATGCTGAAACTCATTCTCCTTTCCTTTCTGAGTCTCCCAGACACTCCATCTGCTATTTTCTGTCTGTCACTCATGCTATTCAATCAATTCTGCTTTCACTTTCTCCAGATTATATTTGATTTCTTCCTGCATGAAGCCCAGGACCCTCTTACTGGTCCTGCGGGAGACCCCTCTGGGTCCCAGCCTGCCTATATCATAAGTATATGGTAAAAATTATAGTTATATTTGTGTCAACATTCTACTTTTTATAGGTTCCTTTTTGGAGCCAGGGATGGTCCTTTGGTGGCTGTAATGGTTTTTAGGTTATATCTATCTCTGTTTGTCTGTTTATCTATAGGTATATCTATTGTTCTTTTTTGTTTCCTTAGTTGTTGGTGGTAAATACACAGGATCTCAGAGTCTTTTTCTGCTAAAGGCGGCACAATTATAGATATTTGAAGATTAACACCAGTACAAGGAATATCCACAGAAAGTAGTTCTAGTACCATAACACTCCAAGTAATGGAGAGATTATTACATACAAATAAAAATCTGTATCGTATTAGAGTCCAGTTTCTTTCAGATACCACTTTTCTTTGGGCTGATCAGCACCAATTACTGACTAGTGCTGTAACTGGTTAGGTTTTTTGGTCCCACAAAATACAGTAGGAAACAGGCAGCGCAAATGAATGAATCCTGCATCTCCTAATTACAAGGCTGGCAACCTCTTCCTCCAAACCCTCAATCTTCTTAAGTTCTCAGAGAAAATTTTCCCTTGGCTGTAGCTTATCTTCTTGTCCTTTCTAATCTCTCCCAGTTTGTATATTCATGTCGTGATGCTGTTACATTCCTTATAGTCAAAATGGATCATCAGCCAGTTGCTCAGACAAAGGAAACAGCCACTAATCAATGCAAAGCATAGTCAGAAATTTACCTTAGTTCCTTGAAGGGGTCTGCCCTGACATTAGGTGTCTCTATAGATTTAGGGAACACTGTGCCCTCCGCTCCTGTAAACAAAAGAAAAAAGCAAACAGAGGTTGGAGACTTTGCATGTCACCTGGGGACACGATCAGCACAATGAGTGGAGCTAAATGAGTGAATCCTTCACACAACCCAAAGCACACATTTTGCCA